GCCGGGCCGGTGTCGTCGCCGCCGCCGCTGCCTGGCACTCCGGAGCTGTCCGCTTCAGCACCACGGCGGCGGGGCCGGTGGCAGCGGCGCGAATGCGCCCATGCACTTTAAAACAGCGGGCCCCAGCCCCACCCCGCGCACCGGACGGACACGGAGACCCGCAGCCCCAGGCCCGGCCCCTCCCGCACGGCTCCCCTGCCCTGCCCCCTCCGGCCAGTCCGGTCTGCAGACCCGGCTGCGGGGTCGGACCGCGCGGCCAGGGACGTTGGCTGCACATCTGCATGAGCTTCTTCCCCACTAGCCCAACCCTCTGGGCCGTCCCCACCCTCACCCCGTCTGGCGTGATCCTGGCTTCTTTCTAAGGGACTTCCTCGGCACATTTGTATTTTTATATCCGATTCTTTGTTTACTGGCTCCGCTCCCGGTCCATGCCCTCCTCTCCCAGCCTCCACCGTGCTCTTCTGCGCCTGGCAGATAGGACAGGTGTTGAGGCTGGTGTGGGACAAACCCCCAACATGGTAACCAACTACACGGCCACTCTGTCCAGGCCTGAGCCCCAGGAGGCTCTCTGGCAGACCTCCCCCCGACCTCAAAGAATCACCTACTAAGGGCCCAGATCTGATTTTACCTTGGACCCCTTCCTCCTACCCCTGGGAACCCAAGTGGGGGCTGCTGTGCACCTTTGGATGACACCTGTGGACCTGGAGATGTTCTCGACCCAGGGTGTTCTTTGTAAATGTTCCTTCATCCTCACTGTACAAGTGTGTGAATAAACACAGACCTCCCTGTGTGTGTGTGCACGCACGTGCGTATGCTTGGGGTTGCGTGGCCGCTGCTGCTTTGGAAGGCTCAGGAGCCAGGCCCAAATGGGAGGGAACTCAGGTGGGAAGTTGCTGGTGAGGGAGGGATTGATGACATCTGAAGACTGACAGGCCAACCTAGTCTGGGGACATCATCACAATGTGGTCTCCTTGGGTACACATACAGCCTAACCAGTGTTGGGGCTGCAGCTGGGAGTCAGAAGCAGAAAGCAATCTTGATTCAAATTCTGCAGCCTCCTGTGAATAAATTCAGGTTGGATGGGGCTCTCCAAATGGGCTGGTATCAGGGGGTTTTGTTAAGCTTGACGTGGGGGACGGACTGCTGTTGGTTTGGAATGGTGGAAAAGGAGATAGGGCACCCAGCAGAGATCTGAAGAATCCAAGAAGGAAGGCAGAAAGCTTTCTCACCCCATACGGGGTGAGAGTGGGGTCTGGAACCAGGCTGTGTGGGTTCATGTGGGATTGTCCCACCAGCTCGATCTTGTGCACAAGGCCTTGGCATGTGAGCACCTGGGAACCAACCCTCAGCCCCAAGTCAGAAACTGCAACTCCCTAAGGAGCACAAGGCAGAAAGGCAGGGAGGGCTGGAGGACCACGCTTCTGCCCTCACAGCTGAATGGCACTGAGGAAGTCCTCATGATCTGAGTCCTGGAGGAAGCAGGGGGACGGAGGAGGCCTGGTGGGTGAGAGAAGCTGGGCCCCCAGGGCCAGCTGAGTCTCACTCAGCTCCCCGCCTTTGTGCATGAGGTAGAGGTAGAAGTGGAAGCCAGTGCCGTAGGTTGCATGTCTCAGGGACCAGCCGTACCGGGCTTGGGCATAGTGTCTGGTCCGAAAGTGGGGGGCTGCTGAGGTCATTGAGACGAACCGGCCCCCAGGGACCAGCACCCGGCTCACCTGCAAGGCAGACAGACAAGTCATCGGTGATGAGTCATCTCCAGGTTCTCAAAGGTCAGTACTGTCCCAGAGGCTTTCCCCCTGAAACCTCAGGACCATCCTACAAGTGGTTGCTCAGGCTTGCTGTGGCAGAGTAAGCCGCTCCTCTGCCCAGGCCATCCGGGCCATCCAGCGGGGAGTGCTGTATTGTAGTCAGAGAGGAGCGTGGGAATGCGCGAGGCTGTTCTTTCCTAACAACTCTGTCACCTTTCTGGAATGGGCTGCTACCTCATCCCTATGGCAACCCTCTAGCCAAACAGCGCCTTTGTGAACGTAGCCATCCCAGCCGCGTCTAATCTTGACCCAGTTTAACCACACTCCTAAGGCTCCTGGAGACCAGACCTCTGGCTTCTGGGTTCTTCCAGGCTCCTGAAACTTCAGCCCCTCATCCCCACCTCTTGGTCTGTTCTCTCTTGTGCCTTCTCACCTCACACAGCACCTGGTCCACGGTGTGGACACCTTCCGAGGATACGGTCCAGGGGTCCTGCTCCCCAGCCAGCAGGGCATCCAGGGTGCCCTTCTCAAGCACCACATCAAAAGAGCCATCAGGGAAGCCCAATGCCCGTGCATCCATGGTCTCCCAGCGCAGCCTGGGTAGGTGGGCATAGCGAGCCCGCATGGCGGCCACTACTACTGATGAGTAATCCACACTGGTCACGTCCGGAAAGCCTCTGAGGAACAGCTCGTAGCTCAAGGCACTGTTCCCGCAACCTGGCATAGGACAGGAAGGGTGGCAAAAGAGTAAGGGTTGTTTTGGTTCTCACCTCCTCCTGATTACTCATCCATGCTTGGCCCCATTTTTTCTCAGTCCAAACCTCCCAGTACTGAGGGGGAGGCAGCAAGTTGCAGAAAGCACACAGCCCTGGGCACAAACCCTAGCTTCATCCTTCCTAGCTGTGTATACTGACTGGGGCAAGTTGTTTCAATATCAAGAACCTGGACTTCCTACTCAGAAAAAAAGGGGATAACAGCCAATAGCTGGCTTACGTGCAGGCTGTGACACACTACACGTCAGAACTAAGACAGCTGAGGAGAAGCTAAAGGCGCTCAGCACTCAGGAGTTCAAAGATCTGGACGCTGCTATCCCTGGTCACAGCCATGGAAAATCATTCAAGTCACTGGACTTCTGTGTCCTCACACTCAGAATGGAGATAATAATGGTATCATCAGGACCACACTAGTTATTAGCCTAATCCTGAACCACTTAGAGACCTAGGACGATACCAACCTGCGGACAGCTTCGCAGTAGGGATTACTTTGATTTCCAAGGCAGAATTAATAAATAAAGGGAAGACTAGTTGGGGAGACCGTGGAGCTGACCCTCGTGTGTAGTGAGGACATGCTGAGGAGTGAGAGCCTGCCAGCGAGAAGCTTGTGCTCGGGTAAAAAGAGCAAATGTGGAATCAGCAACGGCTGTGTAACGCAGGAAGTATTTCAGCAGGGACAGACTGGGAGCGCACAGAGGGCCCTTGACCCAACCAGGTGGATCAGGTAAGAGTTGTAGGGAGTGTAACCAAGCAGCATTTTTGGAGGGAAAATCAACACTCCAGTGGAAAGTACCCAGGATGCAGTCTCCAGGAGGGCAGGGGAAGGTGAGAGAGGGGCAAAGGCGAGTGGAGGTAAACTACAGCCCGGTGGGCACGACTGCTTTAGAGGATCCAGTGTCCTCTTCCGGGCCCTCCTGTGGCCAGCTCAGGCTGAGGACAGGGCTGGACGACAGCTCCTAGCAGCCCTGCATGGGGATCCCAGCTCTGGGAATTATGTTGCTTTTAATCCTCATTTACTTCCCTAAGAGGATCACAGGCTCAGTTGTCGAGATAGCCCTAATCTAGCAGGCCTGGAACCCAGACAGGGTGTCAGAGGCGGCTGGCCAGTCCTCAGCAGTCCCTCCCAGGGTCCTCCCAGGCCTGGTGGCTCAAGGAGAGTTTCGTCTCACCTGGGAAAACCTAACACGTGCGTCCCCACACTGCCGCCCAACACATGCCCAACACACGCTGGCAGATGCAGCGCGAGGAATGAGAGGTGAGAGTGGCTGAACAGCAGACCCTAACTCAGCTCTAGGCTGAGATCCTGCTGGGCTCTCTGACCCATAGTTCCTTCATCACCTAGAACCTGACCTTTTATATCTGCAGAGCTCGGTTCAACTGTAGACAAACCCGAATTTCCTTCCTTTCCTCCCCATGGTACAGGATGGCATCTGCCAAGAGACCTTGACCACAGGCAAAGGGAGAAGGAAATCCTTACCACAGGGCCAGCCAGTGACCCTTACAAAGCAGCAATTTCTCATTTCTACTTCAATGATCTGGTGCCCACAATTAAAATTGGGAAGCAGTGCCCTGGAAAACTGATCCAAATCCAAGAACATATTACATGGGGCCCAGAGCCATAATGATAAGACTGAGTGTAAGCCTAACAGCCAATCACTGATTTATAAGATGAAAAATAACCATCATGGAAACAGACAAGTGAGCCCTCCTCTGGTTAGTCTCTTCTCTCTTGAAGAGGAACTTGGAAGCCAATTATGATCAGAAGATTCCTACAGAGCATGGAATAAGCAAGGGTAGAGAGTCAGAGAAATATCATTGGGGGCTGGGGATTTAGCTCAGTGGCACAGCGCCTGCCTGGCGAGCGCAAGGTTGTCAGTTCGATTCCCGGTACTGGGAAAAAAAAAAAAAGAGAGAAATATCATTATAGCAGAGCTGAGACAGCCATTCATGCGCCTTCACCTGCCACGAGGCTGTTTTAGTCACAGGGACTAGACACACCAGTCCTCGGGATACACTGTTTTGTGGCTGGTCCTGGATCAACTGTTCCCTAACTCTAGATTTCAGTAATAAGGGGATGCAGTGCATGATGGAACGCTTGCCTTGCATGCACACAGCTCTAGGTTCCACCCTTAGCAGGGTGATGATGATGATGACGATGATAGCTAACAGCCTTGAACACCAGATACTGTCCTAAGTACTTTATAATACCTCAGTTTACTTCCACAGCTCCGTATAGAAGAAACTATTATTACCATTCCCTTTTTCTAGATGAGGAAACCGAGGAAAGTGAATAAGCAATGTTCCTAAGGTTACATGGTCAGAGGGAGAGCCACAATTTAAACCCAGGCTTGCTTCACTCCAGAGCCTCAGCTTTTAAACCACTAAACTCAACTGCCTCCCATTCTCTTAGAGGTCCTGCCACCTTCGATGGTGACATTCTATCTTAGGCCATATCAACAAGACCCTCAGGTTGCAATTCAGAGTGTCACCACTGGACCATTCCAACGGAGTTCCTGGTGATTCTCCACCTATCTGCACGGTGTACAGTGGAACCAGAAGCTCTGGAGCCAGTGTGGTGATACAGGCCAGCAAGCCTAGCACTTCGGAGGTTGAGGCAGGAGGACTGGTGTGAGCTACAGGCCAACTTGGGCTGCACAGTGAGTTCAAGGCCAGCCTGAACTACATAGCCAGACTGCTTTAATAAAAGAAAAAAAAAAGAACTATAAGCTCTGGAGGTGCAGGGCACCCTTACTTCACCATTGCTGCATGACGGTAACAGACACTGTCCGTGCTCTGACCAGATCCCCTCAGAGTCCTTTTCACAATTTTTGTATGTCCTTATGTTTTGGCGTGTTTTCGCCTAGCAGTTTATATCTGTGACACTTCAGGTTGAAATTATCCGCAGGGAAACTTTCCCTGGCTTCTTCCCTATTCCTGATCCCCCCACTTCTCACCAATCTCTCCAAGGAGTTTTTATCTCACAAACGGCTTGGAGATGAATTCTCACCTCAGGATTTGCTTCTGGAGAATCCAACTTGGACAACAACCCACAGCAGATTGCCAAATCCAGCTCCACACCTTTGTTGCTATTGTTGTGGGGACTGAGGCCATGGCCTGCTACATGCTGAGCAAGTGCTCTACCACTGAGCTGCATACTCAGCTCTTTGCACTGAGCTACCTCCCCAGTCCTTCTATTTTTAAATTTTGAGAGAGTCCTCCCAAAGTGCTGGAATTACAGGTCTGCACCTGGAATTACAGGTCAGCTGCCTAGCTGTCCAACCTGATCTTGAATTTCCCATCCTCTTGCCTCAGCCACTTAAATGGTTGGGATTGCAGGCATGTGCCACCACATCTGGCTTGCCACTTCTTTTTGTAAAGATTTACCGGGACATAGTTATTCTTACCATTTACATACTGTATCTTTTTTTCAATACGAAAGCAAAAGTGAGTAACTGTGAGAGACTGAAAAGCCTAAAATATGTGTCATCTGACCCTGTTCAGAGAAGTTTACAGCTTGGCATGGGGGATACTCAGGAGGCTCATGCAGGAGGACCACAAGTTTGAGGCCAGCCTGGGCAACTTGGTGAGACCCTGTCTCAGAATTTTAAAAGGGCTCAGTGTGTAGCTCTGTGGTAAAGCCCCCCTGGGTTCTTCAATCCCTAGTACCAGAAAAAAAGAAAAGAAAAAGTGTTTACACACCCCTAACCTAAAGTAAGCCTCCTGATATTTATCATTCACCCTTAGGGACTGTCGTAAAGAGTAAGTTAGAAAGGGGCCAGTACATCCCTGGTGCCTCCCCAGGTGTGGTTCCTATTCTGAGATGTGGGAGATCCTTCCCGGAAACCTTTTTTTCCCTCTTGAGGTTTAGACTCGTCACCCTTTCAATCTAGAAAAGGACAGCTCCTGGGGAAGCAGGTGTCAAGGCAGTGTTACTCTGCCAACCACCAGCATGAGCCTCAGCTTGGCACTGCCTGAAAATAGATTCCCGGAGCAAATCTTAGACCGTCCCTAGAATTAGAATCTCAGGGTGGGGTCCAGCCTACAGGCGACTCTGATGGACAGTAAAGCTTGAAAAACAGCTGCATGGTAAGTCTGTGAAGAAATCCAACAGTTTATAATCACAAAATTCAAGAAACCATTTACCTGTGGGGGGAGGGGTTTAGAGGAACCACACAGAAAACGTTAAATATACACGAGACTTATTTTAGGCAGTGCCGCTGAGCTACATCCCCAGCCCATGAGACTTATTTTAAAACAGTCGTTCTGAAGATTTGTACTCATCCAGCCTTATTAAAAATCTGACACTTAAGTTTTTTGTTTGTTTGTTTTGTGGTACTGCAGAGTGAATCCTGGGCCTTGCACATGCTAGGCAAGTACCACTTACCTACATCACCAGCCTTTTTTTTTTTTTTTTGTTTTGGTTTTTTTTCCCCGGTACCGGGAATCGAACTCACGACCTTCCGCTTGCCAGGCAGGCACTGTGCCGCTGAGCTAAATCCCCAACCCCCAGCTTTCTTTATTTTATTTCGAAGTAGGGTCTCCCTAAGTTGCTCAGGCTGGTCTGGAACTCATGATATTCCTACCTCACCCTCCTGAGGAGCTGGGATTACAGGCATATGCCACCTGGCAAGTATTCATTTTTTTTTTTTTTTTTTTTTTTAAGGCAAGGAAAATGGAGCACAGAAATTTAAGTATTATGTGCAAGATTACAGAGCCAGCATCAGCTGAGCCAAGAATCCAACATAATTAGCTGCTTCTAGAGTCCAAGTTCTTAACTACTAGGTGATGCCTTTCTAATTCTAGTAATGTTCTATTTCACAAACTGAGTACATATATAAATATATATATATAATGCTCCTTTTGTGTGTATCAAATACGTAAGGTTTTAGAGTTGGAGGTGGTGGCACATGCCTGTAATCCCGGCACTCAAGAGGCTGAGGCAGGAGGCACGCCTTGAGTTTGAGGCCAGCCTGGGCCACACAGTGAGTTCAAGGCCAGCCAGAACTACACAGCCAGACCCTATCTCAAAAACAAACAACAACAAAAAAATGGGTTTTACATAGAGCAAAATAAAAACTGTAACTGGAAAGAAACCCGTTGGTCACTCAAACTTCACTAAGCGCCTCCAAGGCCGACAGTGGGAGCGAGCCCGAGGTGAGCAACAGGACCTCTCAGAGCGCGTCTCGCGCCCCAGGGCTTTGGTCCTTCGGGAAATCACCCCAATTTCGGCTGCAACTCCCCTCCGACCTCAGGGGGCGCTGTTCCCTCACTTCGCACGCGGTGTAGGACTAAGTTTCAGTCCAGGGCGCGGAGAGTGCTACTCCCTCTAGGTGACCGGGGCTCCGGGCACCCGCTGGCGTGAACACAGAAACGGTGGGAGAAGAGCTCGAGTGGGCTGCTGTCCCGTCCCTACAACTGTACGCTCACCACGATTACTGGCTTATCCTAGGCGATGGGGCCAATCAGCACTGAGACTCTGACTCGGCGCTGAGTTCTGCGGCGTCCGAGGCCACCTCCCGAGTCTGGGGCAAGGTCCTCGGTCACCCCCACGCTCGGTTCCCAGGGACTATCTTCCTCCTGCTTTCCCTGGCTAACACGGCTGGATTCTGAAGGCGCTGAGCCTGGCGCGGGTGTCCCCGACGAGGACAGACAGGCGGCAGGAAAGCGCGGGCCGGGCTGGGCAGCGCCGGGGCTACCCACCTAGCACCAGGATACGGTCCTTTGGCCGCAGCTCCGGCTCCAGGAGGGCACGGAAGGAGGAGAAGTTCCCGAACCACTCGTAATGGGCAGAGTCTGCCGCGCCTCGGTAGCGCTGGTCCCAGTACTGGACCTCCCGGTACTCGAAGTTCCGCTTGGGCAACTCCGGCGAGGGCGCGGGGGCCCCGGGAGAGGCCATGCTCTCTGCAGCCTCCGGAGCCCGGCCCGGCAGCCAATGGCGAGAGCGGGGGGCGGGACCCTCGGGGCTCCGCCCACCTCCCGCAGTTGCTCAACACAAACACGTGGAACTTCCGTCTTCTGCTCGGCGCTCTTTGGAGAATCCTCCGGCTGGAAAGCCGGGTGGGATCCTGAAGTCCCTAGCTCCCTAGTCACGTTGGAGAGCCACAGCTGATGTCAGACTCACTTGGGTTCATCACTGCGACTTCTCGTGTTTCATTTTGAACGGCTCCGCCCATTAAGCCTGAAAATTAACCTGAACATTTACTTTTAAGCAAGCCGTTTCTGACCTCCAGCAAGGATCTGAAGGGAGGTGGGAGGGGCGCAGACAGGGGCTTTGCCCTCTAGCACAAACTCGAATTTTTCCAGCACGGGTGAAGTGGAAATGGTTCTGGAAGGCAGGAGGCAGGCCTGTTGCCTTTCTGGGCAGACGTTCATCGTCTGTAAGCGCCTGTGTGCCCAGCTGGGCATATACTGAGGAATAAAACTTTGTTCGTGCTCTTACGGAGTGTGTAATCCGTTGGAGGAGAGACATAGAAGAAATAATTTCAGTGGAGTGAGCTTATTTTGGCCCCTCACCAGCAGCGCTTTGTTTGGTAGGATCTTGCCCGCCGGGCGCGGAACCTAAGTGTCGAAAGGTTAAGTTTCCGGGATGGTGGGCCCATTTGAGCGGTGCACTGTCAAGATGGCGGCTGGGCTGCGGAAACGCGGCCGGGCGGGTTCCGCGGCCCAGCTGGGGGGCTTCTGCAGACAATGGCTACAGCGCGTCTGGCAAGAGCGGCGCTTACTGCTGCGGGAGCCGCGCTACACGCTCCTGGTGGCCTCCTGCCTCTGCCTGGCGGAGGTGGGCATCATCTTCTGGGTCATTCACAGGGTGGCATGTGAGTGCGCCGAACGAGATAGAAGGGGCGGGAGGGAGATCAGACCCCTGATCCGAACTGGGACCCGGACTCGGAACTCAAAACTAGACTTCAAAGACCCTCATTCATCATTTTCAGACGTGTGTTCCTTTCTGGAGCCCCCAGCCCGTTCCACAGAAAATGCGATCTTAATCTCCCCCCATAAGGAAGCGGGTGATCGTAGTTTCTGCCTTGAACATTCAGTCTGCCAGGCTAAGAAAGCAAACCAGCCTGGAAGTCACTTCTGGGCTAGAGTTAATGTACTGCTGCTCTGCCTGACTCTGTGTCTTTGGACACGTCACTTCCCCTCCCGGATCTCAGTTTTTTCAGCCATTTGATTCTGAGGTATTGAAAGTGCCTTTACAACAATGGCATTGTGTGCCCACTTGAGACCATTAGGCATTAAAGGTGGCTCCTTCCAGACCAAATCTAACAGTGGGTTTAAGGCACTGGCTTCCTTGCTAAAGATAATTCATTCAGCACATATTTAGTGAGTGGTTATTATATGCCTAATGTGCTAGGTACCTGAAGTGGTAAAAGGGGTGAGTGTGGCCTGAACAAAGATAAACTAGCAGGCACTTCCAGTGCATCATACTCATTGCGATAGCAGAGCGACAAGATGAACATAGGAGCTGAGGAATCAGGGAAGGTTTCATACTGTCCCCTTGGAAGGTGCGTATGAATTAACCAGGTGAGGAAAGAAAAAAGGGGAGCCAGGCGTGGTGGCGCATGCCTGGAATCCCAGCATTCGGGAGACTGATTCAGGAGGATCTCTGTGAGTTCAAGGCCAGCCTGAACTACATTGTAAGATCCTGTCTCAAAACGACAAAAAAGTAAAAATTTTTAAAATGTTTAAAAAGAAAGAAAGAAAAGGAGGAGAAGAATGCCCAGCAAACGGGGTCCTGTATCAAAAAATCTCCAATCAAAAAAGATATTCTAGCTGGGCATAGTGGCGCAAGTTAATCCCATTACTTGAAGGATTGCTGCGAGTTTGAGGCCAGTCTGAGGCCCTGTCTCAAAAAAACCCAAACAGCTGGAATGTAGAAAACTGACAGCAGTGAGAGACAAAACTGCAGAAATTGAGATCAGATTTTGAAGAGATTTAAGAGCCTTAAGGAGGTGGCGTGGTGTCTTAAGAACTTGGACCCCTAACTCCATGCTTAACTCACTGATCTTAAGCTACTCAATTAGCTTTTAAGCTACCTAATTAACTTTTAGGCTCCTCTTATAAAAATGGGTGTGATGGAGATTGATCTTTATCTTCAGAGCTTTAGGGAATCATTGAAGGAGAGAAACTTGATAATGGTTTATATTGTAGGAAACCCTGGTACAAGTAGGTGGAAATATATTGTGGGGTGAAGGTAGAAGTCAGGATCGTAATTAGGAGAATACTGTAAAGTTCAGGCTACAGATATGTTAGACCCAGTATGAATATATAGAACTTAGCAGAGAAAGATGAGCTAGTAGAGATATTTAGGATGAATAGGCAAGACTTGTTCACTAAGGGTCGGAGATGAGAAAGAAGGATATATCAAAGATGTTACTTAGATTTGTGACCTGGTCAGCTAGGAGGTTGGTGGTGGTGTTCCTAGAACCCAGGAAGGGCAGCAGGTTGGGAGCAGAAGGAAGGATGGTGAGTTCAGTTACAGACACCCTGGGTTTAAGATACCTGGGTCTCCTGAGGCAGTTAGACAAGGGTGGTAACAGAAGCCCTGGGTGTGGGCTGGAACTCTGTGCTTTCGTGTTCTGGGGACGTGGGTGTGATAGCAGGCAGGTTCTGGACTGAGAAGTAATCAGATTATCTTACCTTCTTCCAGACACAGAGATTGACTGGAAGGCCTACATGGCCCAGGTAGAAGGCGTCATTAATGGCACATATGACTATACCCAGCTGCAGGGTGACACTGGACCACTTGTGTGAGTAGGGAGAGAAGGTTCCGGGAGGGTATGAAGGGCTGGCTGGGTACCGGGCTGCTTGGCCTACCCTCGGCTCACGTTCCCTATCCTCTTCCAGCTACCCAGCTGGCTTTGTGTACATCTTCATGGGGCTGTACTATGCCACTGGCCGGGGCACTGACATTCGCATGGCCCAGCACATCTTCGCTGTGCTCTACCTGGCCACACTGCTGCTTGTTTTCCTGATCTACCATCAGACCTGCAAGGTGAGTCCACGCTACCAGGACCAGAGGCCCCCAGCCTGCGAGGACGGGTGATGGGGCTGGCTCCGGTTTGGGGAGCTGACCTCGCTCCCCACTGTGCCTGCCCCTCAGGTACCGCCCTTCGTCTTTTTCTTCATGTGCTGCGCCTCTTACCGTGTCCACTCCATCTATGTGCTACGGCTCTTCAACGATCCTGTGGCCATGGCTCTGCTCTTCCTCAGTATCAACCTCTTCCTGGCCCGGCGCTGGAGCTGGGGCTGCTGCTTTTTCAGGTCAGCACTCCTCCCTTCTGGCCCTCGGTCTTCCTTTTTGCAGCAGAGAGTAAGGGAGTGGCCCCCCACAAGCTAAGTCCAGGATCTGTAGCAAGTTTCTATCTCACGCCCGCCCCACTCTTCCCATCCTCCCCCTGAGCAGCATCCATTGTCAGAGTGGGCGGGGCTGGTGCACTGCAGACCTCGTTCAGTGTGTGTGCAGTCAGTCTGGGAGCAGGGGGCTAGGTGTTTGCCGCCTGCCTGGCCGCCGCCCAGGCTGCCTTCCCCTCCCCAGCATCTCCGAGTGTGGCCCGTCTGGTGCTTGCTGGCATGGGAAAGGACTGCCGCAGTGATGGTGGGTAGAGCTTCGGGCCAGGGAGCAGGCCTGGAGCTCACCTCCATCCTCCCTCCCCATGCTGCCCGCAGCCTGGCGGTCTCCGTGAAGATGAATGTGCTGCTCTTCGCGCCCGGGTTACTATTCCTTCTCCTCACGCAGTTCGGCTTCCATGGTGCCCTCCCCAAGCTAGGCATCTGTGCTGTCCTTCAGGTACTCTTCTTCGCCCTTCCCCGCCTCACTCGTCCGGCCTCCTTCCATCCTCCCTCCTCAAAGCCGAGAGACAGGGTCCTGGAGCTGATTCTGAGCTGACAGCCACCACATCTGCTTTGGCTTCCATAACCCCAAAATAGAGCCGTAGAACTCGCGGCCTCAGGTTTTAGCTCTGCCTGTGCATGACCCGGTAAACCCAAACCTCAAAGCCTTCCTCCTGGGCTTCTCGGGATGGGCTTTGGCATGAGATGGCTTCCTGCTATTCCTGGTGGGAACTGGGGACCCTCTGAGAGTCCCATCTCAATCCCGCTCCCCTCAGCGGTTGGCACGAGGCTGCAGTGAGCCTTGGCAGCCCTGCTGACGTCACAGCCACCCTCAGGTGGTGCTGGGTCTGCCCTTCCTCCTGGAGAACCCCGTTGGCTACCTGGCTCGCTCCTTTGACCTCGGCCGCCAGTTCCTCTTCCGGTGGACCGTGAACTGGCGCTTCCTCCCAGAGGCGCTCTTCCTGCACCGCGCCTTCCACCTGGCCCTGCTGGCCGCCCACCTCAGCCTGCTCTCGCTGTTCGCTCTCCGCAGGTGGCACAGGTTAGAAGGGGCGCGGTATGCTGAGCAGGGTAGGGGAGGAATAAAGAGCCCAGGCCACAGGGGCTACTTGGAGGTGTTACACGCATGGGAATGAGTCTAGAGTTTGGCCCATGTTAGGGGCTTAATAAATGTCTGAATTGCCTCTCCCCAGGACGGGAGAAAGTATCCTGTCGCTGCTGAAGGATCCCTCCAAGAGGAAGGTCCCACCCCAGCCCCTCACACCCAACCATATCCTTTAAATCACGGAAAGGTGCGTCCTGACCTCTCCAGGTGTCCAGCTCTGTCGGCCTTAGGGACTGCACTTGGGGCAGGAAGCAGAGCCCATTCCTGGAGCTCCTCTTCCACAGCACTGTGCTGGACATTTTCTACTGAAGCGTGGTTTACTTTGAATACCGGGAACTGAACTCACGACCTTGCGCTTGCCAGGCAGGCGCTTTTGCCGCTGAGCTAAATCCCCAGCCCCTACTTTGAATTCTATATGCCAAGCTGCGGTCAAACATGCCTGTAACCCCAGCTCTCTGGAGGCTGAGACAGGAGAATACAAATTTGAGCTATATAGCAAGTTCCAGGCCAGCCGGGGCTACACAGTGAGATTGTCTCAGTGAGTTAATACCTAGCTGTATTATGTACAGAGCAGTATAAATAATTGAGCACTCACAGTGTAGCCTAAGATTTCCGTTCATTCTAATATTTAAAGCTCACAAGAGACCCTGAGATAGGGAGGTGCTCTTGTTCTCATTTTATGGACAACAAAAATCAAGGCTTGAAAAGGTGAAGTAAGGTACCAGTGTCACACAGCTAGGAAGGGAGGGATTCGAACTCGCCAGGCCTAGCGTCCAGAGCAGGCCATATAGGAGGGGCAAAGCCAGGGGACTTTCTGACCCCCAGACTTCTGCACCTCTATTTGGGGTGTCCCTACCCCCAACTCCTGCCCTCGTTCCTGCCCTTTGGCCTTGATCATCACCTACAGATCGTTTCTACCCTCTTCACCTCCAACTTCATCGGCATCTGCTTCAGCCGCTCCCTCCACTACCAGTTCTACGTCTGGTACTTCCACACGCTGCCCTACCTCCTGTGGGCCACCCCTGCAGGCTGGCTCACACACCTGCTCAGGTACGGCCGGGCCAGCCTGGGGAGTGGGGCCGGCTGGGGGACACGTCTAGGGCGTGAGGAGCCAAAGGGCTCCAGCCCTGCAGCTGGACAGCAGAGTGCAGCCCGTGTCTCACGCCCAGGTTGCTGGTGCTAGGGCTCATCGAGCTCTCCTGGAACACGTACCCGTCCACGTCCTTCAGCTCTGCCGCCCTGCATGCGTGCCATGCTGTCATCCTGCTGCAGCTCTGGCTGGGCCCTCAGCCTTTCCCCAAGAGCGTCCGCCCCGGCAGGAAGGCCCACTGAGATCTGCACCCGGCCTTCCGTCCACTTGGGCCCGGGGGGATGGACTCTGTGCCCTTCCAAATAAACCTGGCCACATCCGCCTCCATGCAGCCTATTGGAATTGGGGGCAGCTGGTGCCTGGCCAGGCTTCAGGACATGGACCCAGCAGAAAAAGCACTCAGCACTCTGGGAGGCTGACGCGGAAGGCTCACAAGTTCAAGCCCAGCCCGGATCACCTCATTCAGGCCCTGCGGCAACATAGAAAGGGCTTGGGGACGTCGCTCAGAGTGAACACTGGGGTTCACTCCCCAAATGATCAAGCCTTAGTCGCGTAGTGTAGGCACTTTATTGCATAGGAATGATTCGGGGGCTGTGGCTCTCTCCCCTTACGCTGCGGCGGAGCTCAGAGCGCGGGGAGGAGAGGGAGAGAGCACAGGCAGGCACTTTCCGTGGGGCCGGCGGCTGGAGGCAGGCGTGAGAAGCGGTGCAGGGCGGACTGGCACCAGCCCGCCCGTGCCCAGGGCCGAGAGGCCGGCCTGGGCGGCAGTGCCCGGGTGTCAGGCCCTCACACGTTCGCGGGGCTGTAGCACAGCAGGCGCAGCTGCAGGTTCTGGTCCCAGTGGCGCAGCAGCAGGAAGAGCCCGCGGGCGGCGGCCTTGAGCGCGGCCAGGTCCAGGCCGTCGGGCAGGCGCTGGGCCTGCAGCCAGCAGTCCGCCTTGGCCGCCGTCAGCTCCCACTCGCCGAAG